TTTTAGGCCCTTTTTTATGGACTGGTATAACCTTAGAAATCTTGAACTTGTTTGGGTAGCAGCCTTGTGTTATACAAAGATTAAATAGGTAAGTCAAAACTTCACTTATGTAACTAGAAGCTAACTTCAAGATGGGGACATTAATTCCGTAAATATCTAAACAAGAGCTATTGTTAAGACTGTTGATGGCTGCATACACCTCTTCTACAGTAAATAGTCCAATCCTAAAAGCATTGTTGTCCTCAATAGTCGGAAGAGCGTTGCAAGAGGTCAAATTTCTAAGATATTGCTCAGGACCATTTGAAGAGGCGGGAACATTACTTCTCAGGTTTTCAACACAGTCGACAAAGTAGGAGTTCAGTCCATCGGCAGTTAGGCAGTCAGGAATAGACAAAGGCTTACTATTACAGTTGCTTATTTCATTAATGATTGACCAGGATGTTTTAGAAATATTACTAGAGTTTAGCAGTAAACTGTTGTTATGGTCAAGTTTGGCTTTCTTGATTTCTTTGCGGTACTGCAACTTTAATGAGTTGTACTTAGTTTTAACTTCAGCAGTCCCTGCATTACAAAACAAAAAATATAGCCGGTCCAGCTCATTTTTCATATTTACAAGTCCTTGATGATACTACCTTTTGTTAGGTTTTGTAACATAATAGATAGGTTCACAACTTTGAAGTAACCCTCATCAAGCTGTTCTAGTTCTTGGTAGGTGTGTAAGGGTCCCTGATATTGTTGGGTCGAGTCAGTCAGCTAACCGTTGTCCTGATGAACCTGTTAGGGTACCGAAATAATTTTCGCCCAAAACTCAGGTTGGATAGACCCGACTCGAACATTTATTTTAATACTTACATTGAAATGGCGACCAAAGTAGGCATTTTAAGCCAAGTATGAATGGAAATGAGTGTAGTGATAAAAAAGCGCCTGTGACAATGTGCCATTGAGAATTGACAATTATTCCTCCAACACGTGTGACGTTCACACTACAATATAGTCTTGTCTTACTGTAGAGACGATGATGACGTTTGCTGTCACCGAAGATGCTCACGATTTTGTCGTATCAGAATAAATTCTGATTCCAAACTATTTTCCTGGTTGAAATTTATTTTGTAATGTTTATGAAAATCAATTATAATTTTGTTATAACTAAAAGCTTCTTACCTAAGGCTACTTTTAAATACCATTAAACTCTTTATGGTTGTTTCTCATTAAATAATAAGGATCTAGGATTAATTTTAGTCAACTCCAATCCAAATCAAACCTATGTGATATTATTCTACGACTGTATATAGGTAGCATTTGGAACACTGATTGCCAAACTCAAATTGAGATCAAAATATTGCCAGTTTACAGACACAGTAAATGATTGTAGTTACACAAATAATTTTTGGAGAGACAAATGAATTTGGACAGTTGTATATAGGTAGCATTTGGAACACTGATTGCCAAACTCAAATTGAGATCAAAATATTGCCAGTTTACAGACACAGTAAATGATTGTAGTTACACAAATAATTTTTGGAGAGACAAATGAATTTGGACAGTTGTAACAGGATAGTTATTTATTTTATTAACAGAAAACATACAGTTTTAAGCAAGAAAGAAACAAAAAAAGTACTCAATAACAGTCAGTTCTTTAACAGTAATATCGTTCAAATCGTATGAGTACAAAATATCATAATACTATGATCAAAATTCAAAACCATGTTAGCACAATTATTTACTTGCAATATACACAGCTAATAACTCTATTGAATGTGTGACAAAGTAGATCAAAACAGTACGGGAAATGATAAACTCATTCAAGCATTTTCATACTAAATACATAGTCTATGTTTTGCTAGCTGTACCACTAACGTTTGTAATCGATTAATGGGAATCAAAACCAGAATTTCATTCACATGGCCATGAATTTATTTAATACATTTTGAATCAATATAAATTTACTATTTCATAGTTCCTTTGGACAATACTTCATTTTCATTAAGAATTATTCTACTGGTGAAAATAGTCTTCTAGCTGAATCTGAAATTGTAGTAAAAGGACTCGTCAGGTTTGAAAGGTAATGTGTAAACTTTTCATTGTTGTACAATTTTCACTATTTCTTTTAATGAAAAACTGAACACAAAAGTAAGAGACATAATTAAAGAGAATATAATTTCATACCCAGCAGTCAGTTACAGTTTTATTTTAGATTTAGTGTAGTTACAAGAAATATCTGTAAGTTATAGCTTAAAACCACCCTTTCCTTTTAAAACAGATCAAAATGTAAAAACAGTGGCTAAAAAGAGGTTATAAATTATTATGTTCAATCATAGATATGTTAAATAGTTCTAAATCGGTGTAGTTTCTTATGATAAAAATATGATAGTTTCGCTTTCAAAGGGAGTTCTCGTCAAAGAAAATTCACGTAAAATATCTAACCTTTTTGATTTTCTAGAGAGGTGGACCTATATCTGGTGAATTAGGTATAGCCAAAAGCATAGACTATATATACTATATATCGGTTTGATTATAGCCTTCCATGATAAAAGTCCTTTTCTTTAACTACTAGATCAGCTCCATCTTTTTTTGCCAAAGCATTTTAATTTTTTAAACAACAAAAGCTAAATTCCTGTAGGTACACAAGAACCCCCTTTTTTCACGACAATGTCACGATTACCAACGGAGTACAAGTACCGTCTTATTAATCACATTCTAACTTACATCTGCTAAGAAAATTCCAATTGTTTTTTATTTAACTGAATGCTTAAAAAACACAGGCTACCAATACCACTTTATTTATAAAAATACACCTATAATCTTAATTTTAAGTATAAATTGCAAAATGAAACAAAATACACAACGTGAGATCAAAAATATCTTTCTTAAAAAAACAAAACTAAATAATACTATAGTATGCAAACGCAAAGTAAAATTGCACATTTCTTGAATATTAATCTTATACAAGAAAATTTATGGGTTAACTTCGAAAATGCCTATAGGGCTGCCAAAAGGACTTAACGATGTTAACCATAAGGAAGAGAATTTAAGTGACAGCTATTCAACAAGGAACCGATTATTGTAATAACAGTTATAAATTGACTTTTTAACAATATTATTGTAGTTTTCCAAACAATACTAAACGCGATTCTGACTGTCTGCGGATGTTGTTACTACAAAGACGAGAGAATTTGTATGAGGTAAAATGTGAATAAAACAGCTATGTAATCTATAAAATTTTACAAGTGGAATTTTTTAGCTCAAACTTGAAAAGCAGTTAACGACTGTTTAACACGTTCGCTGCTACGGACGTTCCGGAACGTCAGCCGGGCCCCGGCGCCAGGAGCTAAGAACGTTCCAGAACGTCACCGTTCATTGTTGTTTAACGTTGCTATGGATAAGCCAGCACGTCACTAGCGTTCTATATTTCTTTGCAGCTCGTGGGGACGTACTTTTCTGACAATAAAAAATATAGTTTCCCAAATCACCACCAGGGTCGTTTGGAACAGGGCTTTGTTTTACCTCTTTCCTGCTAGATAGCGACACTACTTTACCGACTGTAACCTGGGTAGTGCTGCTATCTATCAGAATCACTTAGTACTATATCCAAAGCCAGTTTTATTGCAGAACATTGCCATCCAGTATAACTACTGTTGTTTTTACTGTAATTCAGTGTATCGGTGGCAATGTCACGCAGCGGCCGAGCGTAGTTCAGCAACTGGCGCCGTCCCGGCATCTAGCGCTCAGCAGCGAACGTGTTAAGTAGCTTAAAATGTCTACTTATCATACAAGGAATAACAACCTATAAACATTTAAAGGAATGTATGAACAAGTTAAAATATTCACAGACTAGACTTCAATACTAAGATGACACATCAACATCAGAAATATCGTCGTTAGTTTTCGGCATTTTAAATTACTAAATTAGTACCGTAGAAGCAATGCAATCTACAAAAAATATAGTGTAACAAAAAAAATTATATAGGCCAACTTTGATGTTTACAATAATTGGCATTTCCTGGACTAAAGAATGTATTATGGTTGACCCTATGGCCTATAATAGTCTAGAATAAAATCAAACTAGATTTTTATTTAAATGTGTTTAATAATACAATGCTTAAAAAAATATTTCTGGCACTTGGAACTTAACAAACAACCAATTAATATAAAAATGTGATATTTTCTATGACAAATTTCCATACTAAAAATAACATAGTTAAAAGCTATAAAATAAGCACAACAATACAAAATACAAAACTATCACAAGATATTTATAAAATAAAAAAAGTTAAATAAGACATTCTTTTTAGAGCAATGTGGCAGATAAGAATTTTTTTTCCAAAATGAGTTCGGCTAGTTTATTTTTTGAGTCCAGGGTCTTAGTGATATTCCGTCCAAGGGAAAAATTTCTCAGATTATATTGGTGAGGAATTACGCTCCTTTCACACTATACGATTTTACTCATACGATTGTAAATCTTAAGGGCAGACCATCGTGGGTCAGTTGTTTTCACACTATCTGATTTGTAATCGAATCGGACGATTAAAAAATCAGAACCTCCCACTCCACCGGAACAGAGTTCATTGACACTTCATTGGAGAGTGTTGAGTAGTATGGATTGCGAGCAAATTATTGCTGCTTTGATAATATACCGGCGGAGGAAAAGAAAGAAACGCGCCCGTCTCCACTGGATGCATCTACCCCATGCAGGTGAGTCGGATACCTGCAGTGGTCCCCTACGGTCGCTATGCGGGTGAAAATCGTATACGATTGGTAATCTTATAACCTGAAAGAAGCCATAAGCTACAACGGTCGACTACAAATCAGATTAATAATCGTACAAGCAAAATTGTATATTGTGAAAGGAGCGTTAGTGTCATGTTATACGACAATTTGTTTGTAGCTATACTTTTGTAGGTCTAATTTTCTTAAGTAAACAAGCTAAACTATTTCACATAGAAAAAAACCTGACCACAAAATTGAATAACAAGAAGCTTAATAATGAAACTGCCTATAGATTGTATGTGACGAACCATGTGTATTCGCAAAGAGAATGGTAAAACCAGAGGTGGAGTGAAGAGTTGTGTTGATGCATCATCTGTTTGCCGAACTTGAGATCCGATGACCTTGAACTATGTTGACCTTGAGTTGTTCAACACAGACCCTCATCATACTCGTCATCACTTCCTTTCTTGGCCTGCAGATCAAAAATACATTTGGTGCTTAATCACATATTCAACGTTTATTAGAAACAGAACAAATATTTCTGATCGATCAAAAATTAAACACTGAGTGAATAAAATCAACCCCTAGTCAAAACATTGGAAAAATGAAACCCCATTTAAGATTTCTGAAAAATAAAGATCTTTGAAGGACCTTCGTTCCGAGAGACATTAGGATAATTTGAGACATTAGGATAAATGCTCCAGTTTAATTGTAAAATTTGTAAAGTTAACTACCAATGGGATTTTAAGTTATATTTTAAAGGATAGCCAAGTGGTTGAAAAGAATTTTTTCCATGGAATTCAGCTGGCTTACCTGAGAAAGATAGAGTCCAGGGGCTACAGTAATAGATACACAAGTCACAAAGAAAATATAATTCGTTGTCAAAGGTTGCAAGTGGAGGTGAAAAAAGTGTCAGTGTGTGCCTCAAAAAGATATCCCAAAACTAGGGAATTTGGAGTCAAGACCTGACCATGGATTGTCTGGTAATTAGCGTGGAGGGGGATGGGTTGCTATTGTTTACACACCCACTACTGTTGCTTCAAAGAATCCTATTTTTTCTCTAATTATTAGGTCTCTGGTTAAAGTCTAAGATTGTTACTGGACCTAGATACCATTTGTCATTGAACTATCACTAGGGTCCTAACAAGACCATGGTTTGGACTTTGGACTGTTCTCAAGAAATGTTTAACTAATGCTATGCTAATGTGAATTAACACAAGTAAATAAATAACAAGATTATGTTAATGGCTTTTTATACTTTTTTTAATTTGTGGAGAATGTTTGCAAGACTCCCATTAATCACATAAAGTCACCATCCCCAAAATTGAACTATAAACAAAATAATAAACATGTTTTCAGTCCGTGGTGTGTTTTTATTTCTCAGTATTTTATTTATTTAATTTATCTATTCTAGACAACCCCTGAGTCCACATAGTGTGTTAGTGAGGTTTTCCTGTACCAGACAATTTAGTGATTCACCTCCGAACTTCAATAACAAACTAATTTACCTCTTCGCCCTGGCCACCCTTAGCATTGGGGGAGACGTAGGACGGTGCAGCGCCGGGTATCACTGAAGCTTTAGGTGGCACCACGTCCGGTCCCTTGGGCAGAGACAAGTCACGTGCCAGTCGTGAATACTCCACGTCCATGTGTTTGATGAACGGAGAGTTGAGAGCTCGGAGTGCCGCTTCTGGATCCTCCTCGTCATACGCAGTCAAAAGCATCTCCAGGGTTTGTACCTACAAAAGTAACAAGTATAGTGCATAGTGTTTGGCAAGTATTTGGCCTAGGGCCGTCAGCACTCCTTAAGTGAAGTTAAGAAGTCGCTAAGCTTTTAATAATTTTATTAAAACAACATAGTAACGCTAGTCTTTATCTTAAGGTCTAGATGACTAAACAAAGTTGCTAATTTGAATCAGCTCAAAAGATCCTGACAAAATACGTTTACTTAGATGTAAAATACTTTTACCTCATCCATGTAATAATGCCACAACCTCTAGGCCAAGCCTGAAGGAATGTGAGAAACAGATCCCAGCTAGAGCCTATCGTCCTAGGATGTGAAGGTGGGACATAAAAAGATGGTTTAAAAGTAGCACATTGTTGAATAATTTTTGATACTAAATTACAGTATGGTCTAAATAATCTAGCACTCAATAATGCAGTGTTGTAGTAGTACAAGATTCCATCCCTAAAACAAGCGTGAGGTATTGGAGGAGCAAATAAAGCACATGGAAGGACTACCCAGTCTACTGTACACCCATCGAGCATTTTTCAAACAAAATGTCACCGAGTAATTTCAGTTCTCACCTCGGGTGCTTCACAGCAGTTGCCCCACTCCTTGAAAGCCTTCTCAGCGGCTACAGTGTCTCCACGGGCTAGCTGTACGAGCACCAACGCCACGGCCAGCCGGCCAATAGCTGGTAAGTGCTCGGACTGCTGGTGCAGCCCTATCTCCTGGCGAATGGCGTGGGCTGCCTTATCATACCTGTATCACCAAAGGGTCATGCTACGTTAACCTCTTTCTATGTTCAGATATATAAAATGATAACCTCATGTTGATAATATTGGTTCGGTAAGACACGGTGAAAAGGGTTACTACAGAGAAAAACCCAAATGGTAGTAAATGTAGATGGGTGCAATTCAAATACTTTTCAAGTGACTTAGATTACAGGTATCTCATACCAAGTAACTTCAGTACTGTAATGTAAAACATACAGAGATAAATAATTATAAAACCAGTGTTCAAATTTGAAAATGTTGTTTACTGAAGAAAAGAAAAGAGGTTTTTTACATCTTAAACTTTGAACTCTAACCTGCCAATCATTTAAGCCGAAGGGGTACGGCTACTTTTTCTATTGATTTGAAATAAGTAATAGCACTAGGGTGGAAATTGTATTTTGATCCATTACAAGCATTTCTTTAACAATTTATTTACTACAATAGTTATCTGAGACGAGACAAGTCTTGTGTTTATGTGGTACATCTAAACAAATTGAATATTAAATAGGACCACTTACAATTGCAGTTTAACAAGGATTCTGGCAGTTTTGCTTATATATTCAGCTGCCTGTCTGGTGCTATCTTCGCCCTGCGAATAAAAAAATCCATGTGTAAAAATATACCGGAATTACGAAAAAAAGCTATAACCTATTATAAAAAAATTATGATTGATTAATTACCAAATTGCTATGATAAATTTATTGTAATGAAGCTCTGCTAATATATCCTTTATCTCAAGTAAGTTTTTGAGTTTTTTTGCAATAACATGGTAGTCAATTTAAATATACATCATAGGCTACTTCAGAGTGTGATAAATTTGAAAAATAGGCTATTTAAAACGTTTTTATTAGGTCACTTTCTTGTCCGCTACAAATTTTGCAACCGATTTTATACTAACTTCCCGATGAGCTAGGGACTTGAAACTTGAAACATATCTCACAAATGGAAGACAATGCAGTATTATACAATTTAATTTTCATATTTCCCTTGGACTACGCCCCATGGGCTTGTTTTTATTAAATCGATTTCTTGCAAATTTTGATACTTCCCGATGAGCTAGAGACTTGAAATTTGAAACATAGCTCACAAATGGATGATATTACAATATTATATCATTTAATTTTCATATTTCCTTTCGGGCTACGCCCCATGGGCTTGTTTTTATTAGCTCGCTTTCCTACAAATTTTGATATCAATTTTAAACGATGTTCCCGATAAGCTAGAGACTTGAAATTTGAAACATAGCTCACAAATGCATGACAATGCAATATTCAAATTCAAAATTCAAAAAATTCAAAAATTCAAAATTCAAATTTATTTATTTGTGATAATACAAAATCTGGCCTCGCCAAGTTTGCAAAACTTGTCGGCGAGGTCCAATTGATTCACAAAAATGTAACAAACAAAATTTACATTTTTTTTTTCTTTTTCTTTTTACAAATATAAATATTCTAGCGCTACTAATTCCATGGCGGTTTGTGGCAGGCACCTATCTAAGCTACATAATAATGGCAGCAGAAATGTAAAATTCTAATATGGTTTGAAAAAAATTGCTGATTTATAATCAATGCTTCATTCCGAAGTCTTTGTTCTCCTGGTTCATAGACCAGGGGTTTCCAAATATTGAAGAGGCAGTGTCTAACTGGAGAAAAAAAAGTATTCGTTTGTTTGTCGTTTGTTTCTTGTTTCCTGAAAATTTGATGAATTGAGACATAACCTCTCACTAAGAAAAGTTATGCCCATGCAGGCATTTATTTATACAAAGCGGAGAAAAAATAAAAAAACTAATATGTTTGAGAAGCTTTCTTTGATATTTTCATCCCTAATAGATGTCTTTTGTACTGTGTTTCTGATGTGGTGGGTTTTGTGTGTGTTTGTAAAAATTGTACACACACAAAACCCACCACATCAGAAACACAGTACAAAAGACATCTATTAGGGATTATATCATTTAATTTTCATATTTCCCTTGGGCTACGCCCCATGGGCTTCCAAATTTTTCTTGTTTACATTTTGAAAGGATGTAAATATATCAACTAATTTAAGTCAGCTGTAAATACTCAAATTTGACAGTTCGATGAGCAGAGGTTAAGAGGTACAGGTTATGCTCCCAAGAGATTCTTTATACAAACAAACATTTCAAAATAAAGAAAAACAATCTGATTGCAGGTATCAAGGTGTTTGTAAATAATGTCAATTTTTGTTTATTTAGTATTCTATAAAGTAAACAATAAATATTTCGAGTGAATGCATTGCAGAGAAATTCCATAACAAACTATAGTTGTTAAACTTATTTTATACTGTGAGTTTTCGGATTAACGAACTGTAAACATGTAATAATATCAATTATTTGTGAATATTGCATGATAACTCATATTATGGTCAAGGAGACAGTCACCCAACACAAGCGACGCCTAGAGAAGAAGAAAAAAAAAGACTTGTACCGATTTTGTTGCAAAAGGCAACACATCAATACAAGTTAACGCAAAGAACAGTCAGCTGTTTTGAACAATAGATCAGTATAGACCAGAATGCACCACGCACTAAAGGAGTAGAGGGGATAAGGTCTAGTCGGATGGTCATTTGCTTCCAGCAGTATCAGTTCCTCTCCAAATCTCAACGTAACTAGTTCGGTAAAACTTTCGTTTGTGCAAATTAAATTCATCTCGCGGCGTTTGGTCGGGCAATCTCAAATTTCCTTAAAGTCGTTCAGCCTATATCCCTAAGGGATATAATTGCCTCGCGATCGGAAATTAGAATTTGTGTTGTTGTCAAAAAGTGCAAAAGTTCGTTACCAGCCAAACGCGGTCCGCCATTTGAAAATTTCTCAAACGTTCACACGAGTTTCAATTGATCGCGTCTTGTAGAATACCGACTAGTTACATTTCCTCATCCTGATCCCTTTGTTTGTGTTATATTTGTGGACTTCCAAACTGTAAGTAATTTGTGTTATTTATTTGTTATATATTTAAATTTCAGTGAGTCGCATACTTTGTAAATTTTCCTGTCTTGTTTTGTTAATTCATGTAGAATAAACACATGTTCCCCGGTTCGATCCCAATTCGCTGATTTTCATATCCATTCATATTGTAACAATCCTCTTTATTTATTAGACTGTGGTAATACAATAGCATTAAGAATAAATAGATGAAAATGTTTTTATAGGGTAATTCAGAGTTGCTTTGTAATATTTTTATATAGTATTTGAATTTTGCACAGAGTCATTATTAAAGGTACAATTCATCAAAGAGTGTCACAATCAGTATTTAAATTTGGGGGAATCAATTAATATCAAAGGAGGGATTAGGTAGCTGGTTCGGCTGAATCCGGAAGTGTTATCGGAGGCTGTGCCAGTTTGCATATAGATGAACCGCCAAAGTGTCAAATTAGCCATAAAACAATAAGCGACGTTCCAGTAAATATTATTACGATTAAACGCAATACTGTTTAATCAGTTGACCTTCGAGAATCAACCTTCATATTTACATCGTTGGCCAACGAACAGGACTTGCTTGGCACTGGTCATCTCAAATTAAATTAAAAACCACTCCTCCGTTGACACCTTCGAGATCGGTGTGAAACCGCGCCAAATATTCCCCTTTGATAAATCCATTCAACGTTCTCAAACAAAACAATTCAGTCTGATTGTATCACTCACGGTCATATTTTATATTACATCACACAAACAGAAATTGTCAAACCGAAATCATTGTAAATCTTAAATACTGCTTAATAAATCAAATTGTTACTCACTTTTTAGTTCTCAATAACCTTGGTAATTCAGTATATGCAATAGTATCTAATTGGTAAACAAAAGGTAATTCAGTAAATCATAAGCCACTACAAAAGATTCACCTTTTAAGTGCAACACTAAACACTAGTGTAGTAGTGAGCAAGTAAATTCAGTGTAGAATTAAGACTGGTAAATTGCTCTCATTAAAGGTATTACATTTTTGGAAGAACCATAACAGTACCAAGGGCGTCCCCTAAGGACCTTTGGGGAATATTTATATTTTGCAGGGCCCACACATATTTTTTATAACATCAAGCTTCCACTGCCAAAAGCTCTGTCTGATATTTTTATTTTCTAGAGTTCTTCCAACCTAGGGGCAACCAACATTTGTAAAGAATTCATTAAAGAGCATTGCAAGGAGTAAATATATTTAAATACAATATTTAAATATATAAAAGTAGTAGAAAGGGGAAACCCTTTTCCTTATTTCTTTTTTTCTTTACAGACTAGTTAAGCTTCAACAGGAATCGGAGGTTTGTAAATCGGCAAGACTACTATGTCAGCGTCAGGCCTATGCTCAGTCCACGGCTTATTGGAAGGAGACAGCCTCCCAACGCAAGCTACGGCTAGAGAAGGAGAAGAAAAAAAGACAAGTTAAGCAACATGAATCGAAGACTTGTAAGTCGGCAAGATTAGCCAAATGGCGTAAGCGAGCTACGCAGGTTTGTAAATCGGCAAGACTACTACGTCAGCGTCAGGCCTATGCTCAACGAGAAGGTGATTTCCATCTAACCAAAAACACTTTTTGTGACAAGTGTTGTGATATCTGGAAGAAAAAGTGCTACCCTAATCAGGTTATGAAACAATGTTCTATTTCACCGGAGCCATACATTTTCCACATGCCTCTGTCTTAATCTGATATAAATGCTTGAAATAGATTTAACATGCACACACATTAAAACTAAAAAGTATAAAATAATTTATAAATAAAAAACTTTTTTAAACAAAACGTTTTTAAACGCCCTAAAAAATGGAAAATAATTTACAAATAGTTTATAAATATGTTGAGAGAGTATAAATCCTTGTACGATTTAAAACGAAAAACGTTGGGTGCATGCAATTAATTGATAATAATACATTAGTTCAGTAGGTGAAGGTAAACTATCTATTGCATGCACCCCACGTTTTTTGTTTTAAATCGTACAAGTATTTATACTCTCTCAACATATTTATAAATTATTTGTAAATTATTTTCCATTTTTTAGGGCGTTTAAAAACGTTTTGTTTAAAAAAGTTTTTTATTTATAAATTATTTCATAAAATTTATAAAAGTAGCAGCTGCTCTTTGTATTTTACTGTGAGACTAGTTTAATTGAATATAACCGCTGAATAACATTGCAAACAACATATTTTGTGAAATTGAGGTTTCTAAAGAGCAACAATGCAAATTAAATTCTCTACTGGTATTTTGTTTTTTAAATACATAGGTTAGCTTGGCTAGAACTTTTTTGGTGTTTTCTGAAAAATATTGACTTTATTCACTTGCAACGTTGTTCAACAGAGCTATTAAATTGATTCAGAGACATAATTCAAGATGTTAACTTTACAAAACTAGATGCCATCTTAGTCTTCGGATAAATCCTAACTGAAGTTTCATAACCATTGTAAGATCAACGAATATAGGAAAACCCTGTATGGTGCATAATCTAAATATGTATCGAAATAATTCAATTGATCCCATCCTTTATTCACTTAAGATATTAGTACTTAGTAGTAGTTAAGATATTAGTACTTTCGAGCTCTCTCTTCCTTAGTTGAAAATGCTGTTAGTTACAGTAAAGGATATTTTTTCCCCTTTGAATATAAAACAGCTTATTCCCTCTATGGGAAATTCGCTAAAAGAGGTGGGCGGCCACTTTTAATCTTGTATTTGCCTGTCCACATAGACTATGGAACGTATCCAGCAAAGTAAGGGATGATCTGGTACAATACAGTACAAGGGTGAAGTGTACTGTTAACAAGTAGCGGTAGATACCAGGATCAAAACCTACGACATCCCTGCCTTGTGCCTGAAGTCTATGACGTTACCGACTGAGACACAGACTCACCATGCTTTGTGTATATAGTGTAAATTTGTGTGTTTTTTTGAGCCAGTTTGGACTCTTTCTCATTCAGGTAAGCCTAATAATCCTAATAACCTAGGCTCTTGTGCTCCAATTTACACCCTTATCCTTTTTTACAAGTTTGTTAAGGTTTATTATGGGAATTATAAAACATTAATTTAATCTAAAGCTTACAGTAAGACGGATACTGACCATGCAGACGTCGGCAGCTCGCTGATACAAAGCCAGAGCTGCCTCAGGCTGGGTCTGCTCCAGTATCTTGGCAGCCTTGTCCAGCACTGAAGCACCAGCGTCACACGAGCCGTGCTGCTGGTACAAGCTGCAGGCGCGCTCGGCCATCTGTGTCACCTCCCTCAGGTCTCCCACCTCCTTGCTGACCAACAGCGCCTGCTCTATACACCTGAACACAATGGGAGTGATGTGTACGTTGAAAGATTTTTGTTTGATCAGTTTTTGGAAATAAATACTGTAGATAAAATCGCCATACTATATTTTAGCCTGGTCACACAAATAATTATTTTCTTTTGTAAAGTTTAATGAGGTGATTATTCCAGGTTAAACTTAAGTTTCACTTATGGGAAATGTAAGCACCATTTGAAACATTACATTTAGTTAATATTTATTTTATTACTGAACTGAACATATGCCTTGTATTATCGTCAATAAAAAAGCAGTATCAGGTTTTGGTATCCAAAAGTTTGGTTTAGTGTGCATTTATCATAACGTCATGAATATAATCCGATCACAAAAAAATCTTGAACTGTCCCGCAATCACATACAGACCATTATCGTATCCCTTGCTTGCGAAAAAATCTTGCATATATATATATATCTTTGCGTTAATTTTCCTGTCCACAGAAATGTTATTGTCCTACAGGAAATATTCAAAACTATTTTTATGTTTTGATTTGTTTTAGAGATCTCAAGTTTTTTCAGTCTTTGATATGGGCACACATAGCATTTTGACAACTTATCAGGTCTAAGTACAGATAGGTCTATCTACATTTAAATTAGAATAGATTACTTACTTTGCTGCGTGAAACCATCTGACTTGCAAGTTAAGGAAATAAACTTATTAATTCACAGTTAGACTATCATTATGGTATAGTCAAAATCAGAATGAACAAGACTGAACATGTATAAATCAAGGGTAACGCCCAAAAAACGTTTTATTTGATTAATTGATAAACTATTGATGGTTTGATACTGGACCCAGCTGTCTTTGATCATTGGGCTTTCAATAAATGGTCCTGACTGATGCAACAGCTGATCTTAGTCAGTAACAAAGCTATACAAGGCATGACACACCATTCACTCACCCTTCACCCATATTTAAGTTAAAATACATAGGTGACGTCCCTATCTCACATGGAAATAATACTAATTGAACTTGATAATAGGTGAGATAAAGAAGCATTCACAAAGTAATGTATAGCACAAGGCAATACCAAAGAATGTTAAAGGATACGATCGATTTTGCTTGTGGCATTCGGCGGCTTTCAGCAGGCATTCCTTACACTGGTCGAAAGACTTGGCAATGCGAAAACATGTGGCTGTAACAAAACTAAGTTTAAAGGAAATGTTTTTTGAGTCAAACTTTATGTACTTTATTAATAAATTCACTAAATATTTAATTACAACAACTATTTAAGAAAAGCTGTGTGGTTGTGATTCACAACGCATATGATTGGGTCAGCCTGCATCATCGACTTATCACCAACCAATATTCATTTTAGGTGGTCCTCTTCTATCAAACTCTGCGACGGGCAGTGAACTCGTCGCCAGTTGCAAACTAGAACGCTAGAACTGACTGAAATGGAGTCAACCCTAATCTACATTGCTTTCTTGTGGCCAGGTGCTTTTTAGATCCAGGGTTACACCATTGGTTTGGGAAAAATCAGGACGACCCCCCTCCCCTCCACCTGTATTAACATGGACATAAATAACCACGGGCACAAAGGGGCCAGAATTGGGACTGTCCCGACAAAATCAGGACGGGTGGCAACCCTGCTTAGACCCCTCGGTAATTGATCGGACCAAACAGTCTACCTTTTGGCCATTGGAGATTTTTAAAAGGATTGCACTGGAAACATGTTTTGTGTAATTATATAAAACTTCCCTCGCAAAGTAAATAATTTTTGCTGAAAAGTTCCTGTTTTACTGCTTTATATTAATGATCTTTAAATTTTGGATTAGGGCCTATTTTCTCATTATTACGATTTAAGGTAAGTTAGCCTGTAATATAAAATTATCTTACCTTTTTATTTTTCCATCAAAATTTTTTTCCGGTTAAGATCAGAACTTTAATCAGGCCTAATTAATGTAAGCAATGTTGTCTTTAGCAGGTACTGTTGAAAATTAGGCCTTCATTAAACGTCTATCCTCCAACTAAGGTTAATTGTTAATTCTAAAATACTCCTCTTTTTTTAAAACGTTTTTATTAGCTCGCTTTCTTGTCCGGTACAAATTTTGCAATACATTTTATACTAACTTCCCGATGAGCTAGAGACTTGAAACATAGCTCACAAATGGAAGACAATGCATTATTATATCATTTAATTTTTATATTTCCCTTGGGCTACGCCCCACGGGCTTGTTTTTATTAACTCACTTTCTTGAAAATTGTAATACTTCCCGATGAGCTAGAGACTTGAAACTTGAAACATAGCTCACAAATGGATAACAATGCAATATTATATCATTTAATTTTCATATTTCCATTGGGCTACGCCCCATGGGCTTGTATTTATTGCATACAACATTCAATAATGTTCAGCTCTTTACTAAATCACAACACCAAACAAAGACTGAATCCTACACACATTTGTTCCCGACCTTAAAAATACATTATAAGGGGGTTGATTCACTTATTGGCCTCTTACTGAAATGATGAGCTTATTGATAATATAGAGCTTATATTTACTGTTTGAAAATTTAGATGTAAGCCCAGCAGTTAAGCATATAGTCACTTTTAATCAGTATCTAATATTATTGACCCAATACACGTTTGATTCTCACCTGCTTTGTTGTATTCCTCAGCAGCTAACTCATACTCCGGTCGCCATTTCAGCAAAGATGTCTTCAAACTAAAATTAATTTGTAATTGTTTTAATTATACTACTGCATAGTTAAATCACATCAAATACAGCTTTGAGTTCAAAGATGTACATTTCAAGAGTAAAATACACCTCTACGGCACATAAATTTGGTAAATCGTCAAGTGGGTATTTACTAGCAGTGTTATTACCCGCAGATACAAGCCTTAAACTGTACACATAATAATGCTGTGAATTGTTGTCTGATTTAGTTTCAAATGATTAGCTATAAACTAGAGACTAAATAATTGCATGAAAAAGGATGAAGGCAGAGCCAGTTCTAGACATTTTTTTAGAGTAATCGAATGACATTACGCCCCCCCCCCCACCCAGAAAAACTGACATGGTAGTGCGGATTATCTCTGGATACAAAAATAATTAGTACTTAAATGTCCGGAGCGTGCAAACATCTGACGGACTGCAACAATAGTAGATTACGGACAAGGCGTATAAGACAGTGGGTAAATTAGGCTTTCTCTGAGAAGTATGCTTTCTCCATTATGCACAACCATCACCCTTTTTAGCATTGGGGTTTAGCTTCTTATAGTGTAATCTATATATTTAATACGCTAGGCATATTTTTGTCATAATTGTTTTGGAGTGGTGGTGCTACCGATCACCATGTCCAAGGTGTCTTAAAAGGTGTCAAGAAAGGTCTTAGTATGTAGTTTTGCCATCAAACATAAAAACTTTGGAATTCCATCAGGACTCTGCCCCAGTGGCCTTCAAAGTTCCCATGTTATTCTTAGGGAGGAATACAGCAAGCACCCTTCCGTGTTAGGTTTAAGCGTGCTCTCCAACAGCCGCCTGAAGATTTCACATTCAATTTAGGACCGTTGGATAATCGCTGCATAAGCTGTTGATTTTTTGTTGAAGACAAGGAAGCGGGTAGGACTACATCGGAAACAGAAGAGCGTTGGGAGCAGAGTGTTTTATGTTAACGTTTTAGGTAAACGTTCGGATATATACCTAACATCAGAAAGAGACTGGAACAAGATTGGGAGATGGGCCATAATGAAACGCAGTTTGTCAAAGGACATGGAAAATTTCAAGGCGAATTTGTGGAGATTTCACCAGGTGGAAGAGGAAGTATGTAGATGTGGAGAAATAAAAACCACGAGTCACGTAATAATAAATTGTTCACTTCAGGAGACAAATAGGAGAGAACAGGAAGAAGTTTTGGATAAGATAGGTCTAGAGATGAGAAAATAAATTATGATGAGTGAAAAGGAAACAATTGAGACGTTTAGAAAAGTAGCTAGGGAAATAGGAAAAACCAGGGATACATACAGGCATTAAAATTTATAAAAAGAAACAAACAAAAACTAAGAAAGAAAAGGAATGAAAACTTGCCCATGAAGGGGAGAGGAAAGGTTAGAGCGAATCTCAATGATCCCTATCGCTCAGGGTGGTATGGGGAAGGGAGTCGTGCTGTTAGGCTTTTGGACACATAATGTGTCTGGAAACTTAATGTGGCTATGAGTAAGGCTATTTGTAGAAAACACTATTTAAAATAAATAAAATGTTGATTATATCGATCTGTTATGTACATCTTGAGGATTTCCATAATCTTTGAGTCAAATATTTTAAAGTCATCAGAAATTATGTCTGTTATTCGTTTTAAAATAACACCTGTAATACTTAGCAATTGCTCGAATTTGAGCAACAGGTACACTAGTATGAATTCAATGCCTCTAGTCTTCTTCTTTGATACTGAGCATTGGAAAGCACTTAAGCATGCCCTTTTGCTTGTCCTTGTACTCTGCTTAACCCTTTAAACCGGTCCTGTATAAAGGCATCAGAATAGGCATGACTACTGTAGGGTATAAATTTTGAGTAGGCCTACAGTCCACCCTTGATGTCTACGCCCTGTATAAGGGTGGCCTCCGTATAATACCAAAGTACCGGCATTTTAACCAATAATTTTTTATCAATAAAACCAAGATGCAAATAAACTTAGTAAATATTAAACATAAAGGAGTAGGCCTAATTATAAAGAATAACTTATTGGAACCTTAAATCAGATGCGACATACATAAGGCAAAAAAGTGTTGGGGGATCTCAGAAAAACTTCCCGTCAAACCGCTAACATTTTGTGAAAGGACTGTAACACATCTTAGAGTAAAGCCTAAGTTAGTCTAACTTATAATTACAGAATTAAAATTAAGTAGGCCTTTGTAACTAGGCCTATATCATTAATACATGTACACATCAGGCCTAATTTTAAAATGATTAAGTAGGCTATGTCATGCCTAGCCTATGAAATAAAATTGTTCCCTGATGCAAGATTTCACAACAGGGCAAATTAATGAAAAAAAAAACTACAAATTGGATTATAAGAACTGGCAAACCTAGGACTGTAATTGAACATATTGTTATGTGAATTTAAAAACAATGAAAATTACCAAAATAATTGTTTATTTCAGCAGAATTATACGTCAGGCAGAAAATCATTACTACCATACTTACAACTTTTCTGCGGATTTAATTAGTTCTAGACCCTCTTGAAATTTCTTGTTTGTGTCCGCCATGAACGTATTATTCTAGATACATTAATCAATTATAAATCGTATCCTTGTTGGTAATAATTGATACAAAAGAGACCCGATTTTACTGAGTAACTACACAACTTGACAACTTCAACGTAGCAGACGACTAGGCAAAATTTCGATAAAATACTCCCTGTTAATCCATTGATAATACCAGAAACGTGCTGCCTGAATTTAATCGCCTTTTATATGATTTATACTTGTCATATAGTAAGAACACAAAACAGACTTTATATTTGGAGAAACGTATGGATTATTCCATTATCAGCATTGAAACATGAGAACATTTCAAAGAAGCTATGAATTTAATAATCATACAATATTTGTGAATATTTAATCAATGCTATAGTACTGTATTCATGGTAGGACCTTCCAATCCGGGAGAATACATTTTTATTTTGGAATACCCAAAAGTAAACGCTATGGTTTAGTTTATGATGTAGGCCTCTGTAAAAATAGAAATTTGGCGTATCTTTTGAAAGCATAAAAGTCTTCTCAAGTCAAAATTGTGTGATTTAAGTCACCCAACTATCTACCTTTCCTCTTTAGCCTGATCTTTTAAAACCCTATAATAGCTGTTCAAGATTTCCTAATGACCATAGTGTCCTAGTTATGTCCATGACATATTTTTTTTTTACAGCATCATTTATTTCTGGTTCAATGTATAGACATTATACACAGAAGTGTTAACAAAATTAATAAGAAATTAACTATAATAACATCGTGGGTTCGCCCAAACCTGAGTCACCCTGTAACATAATTAATTTAGAGAATAATTTAATCTTCTTTAGACTTCATTCCTCCAATAGATCTTGAGGGAGCCTTCGACGTAGCCTCCTGTTCGCAGTTGCTTCACCAAGATGAAAAGTTAATGCACCAGGAACATCGTTTAAAGATTTTAGAAATTTTGAGGTGGTTTTTTCAATAAAGGCCGAGATAGACTCCACTCCTAGTTCTTCATGTATATGCCTGTTTCTAACAAACCAGGGAGCATTCACCACTATTCTTAGAATTTTGTTTTGAATCACTTGAATTTTGAAGAGTTTGTTTTTTGATATAGCTAATCCCCAGATAGGAGATGCATATGTAATCAAGGGCCGAATTATTGATTTATAGATTAGAACTGTACAAGCTGGCTTCAGAGTAGATTTCCTATTGATTAAAGGGAAAAGCTTTGCAAGGCGTGCATAACCTTGGGACAGTTTTTGATTAACGTGGTAGTTCCAATTAAGTTTTTTGTCCAGCCATACTCCAAGATATTTTATGGCCTGGTCATCAGGGTTCCAAGGTAGAAAGTTACCATATATTTGAATTTCATGTGGCAATGTATGTTTTTTCAAGGAGAATATTTTGGTTTCACATTTTGTTGAATTTAGGCGAAATTTCCACTTGTAGAACCAATCAATAAGAAGATCCACAGAGTATTGCAGGGAATACGTGGCCTCGTGGATGTCGGAATGCTGGCACAGGATAGCAGTGTCGTCGGCGTAGAGAGCTAATGAGGCGTCTTCTGGAAGAGGGATGTCTGCTGCCATGTATAGATTGAACAATACAGGGCCCAAAATTGAACCTTGTGGAACTCCTGCATTGACTCGCCGTATAGATGATTTGGAAGAACTTATTTTAACAGAGAAGGTCCTGTGACAGAGAAACGATTTTACAATATTGGTTAAATATTTTGGAAATCCAAAATTAATCAATTTAAAGACAAGACCGTCATGCCATACCTTATCAAATGCCTGAGATATGTCAAGAAATGCCGTTACTGTGTGCTGTTTCCTCTCAAACCCTTTGACAATCGTTTCATATATTCGTAAGATTTGATGTATGGGCGAATGTTTTGGCCGAAATCCAAATTGATGAGCAGGAATTATTTGCAGCATCCATGTAACAGGCAATTCGTTTCAAGATGATTTTTTCAAAAACTTTAGGAAGTGTAGAAAGTAAGCTGATTGGACGGTAACTCGATGGAGAAGACTTTGGTTTATTGGGTTTATGAATAACTGATATTTCCGCATGCTTCCAAATAGAAGGGAAGTAAGATTTAGACAAACGTGACATATATTTTCTATTTCAAAAGAAGAGTTTAGCAGCCTCTTTATTTGATGTCCAATTCGCCCGTCCAAATTCTGTTTTACTTACTTCCCCTCGTGTGGAGAAACTACCCATTTGTTTTCGTCACCAATTCCGGAGTGAGTTTTGAGTAAAAAATTAAAATTTACTTTTTAGGTCCCCCTGAATTCTAAAAAATGGTTATCTTCCGAAGTGACGTCTGTGGTTTACAGAGCAAGTGGTCCGATTTCAATGAAATTTGGTATGTGGGTACTTATTAAAAACAGGGGTGCCCAGAAGGGGGGGGGGGGCTGCGCCATCGAGATTTTTTTAGTGGGGGGAGCATGATTTTTTGGGTGGGATTTTGTGTTTTTTTGTAAGGGACTTTATGGCAACAAAAATAAATTATTAGAATCATACACAACAGTAAAAAGTTAAAAAATTCATAGTGAATCCAGGTGTTGATTATTTGTTTGAAATTGTGGTTTTTAATGGTGACTTCCTGTTAAAACTCATAAAATTAAAGCTAAGAAAATGTGAATTAAAAAAACTGCTATTAATAATTTTGATTAAAATCATGTATGTTATTTATACTCCTAACCCAAAACAAAATTGCACAATTCCCATCAAAATACAATATAGGCCTTAAAACTTTTAAGCTTCCTTGTAATAGCAACGTTAAGCACTCTTTGAGCCAAATATAAGCTATAATTTATATTGAAAGTTAATTCATGAATATTTATCTATTAAAAAGATACCAACTAACCACAATAAGCATTGGCAAATGTTATAAAACGATCACTTATACTCCAGTAGCCTATATAACTACTAGCAAACCCGCTGTAGCTTTGCTCACGAAAAATTTAATTGAATAATTAAATGATTAATCTGATAGGCCAGGCCAACTCAGTGGCGGATCTCGAACAGTCATAAGGGGGGGAGGGCGAACCGGGGGGTCTGCCCCCCCTGAAAAATTTGTGTAAACTAAGTCTCCAAAATGGCAATTTTATATCATCTTTTTGTCCAAAGTTAGTGTGGCAAATTATTTTACACGATGTGTATGCACTACTGTATTACATGCAGTAAAAATATTATATATATATGCCCGAGGGGGGGTGGGTCGCCCCCTACCCACTGGTCCCTCTGAATCCGCCACTAGGCCAACAAAAAATTAGAAAAGCAACATATTAGGCCTAAATCCATGTATATATCATCACTTAATTTAGTTAAGCACGTGTGACTAAAGAAGTTAAAACTACGGGAAAACTTCTTCCTTTACAACATTGAACACCTCTCTACAGCTGAATTCGGATCTCAAGAGCCTTAGAGCTTAGCAAAAGCTATTTTCCATCACTAGATGAGTTTCTATGTGTACATTTCTCAATGGAAGAAAGGTGAAATAAACGTTATTTACAGTTGTTATGCAGTTAAATAACTGTAATAAATAGATGTTTACTAAACTTTACAAAACAAACAATAAAACCCTAAGTATCAAATACAAATTCCTTGTCTAGTCTAGTGATCTTTTGATTCCTGGTCAGTCTTCAAAAACTCTTTGTACTTTTCTTCGTTGAGAAGGTCTTTTAACTCATCAGGCTTGCTTAGTTGAACCTTGAAGAGCCAACCTAAATCAAAACAAAAGAAATATCAGTTACCTATATACAAACAATAAATTCATAGTAAAGTTTGACTAAAAGTTTTGTAAAAACCATTTATGATTTTTGTAATAGAATATTAAACAAGAGTCATGGCCAGAAAGAAGGATAGACAGAAATAATAAAAGAAATAAGTAAGTCACTAATGTAAGATTTTGTCTCAAGCAAACTACACACTTACTTACATGTACATTTATTTAGTTAAAGGCAACTTTAGAAGGGTCAACAAATTTAAATTGTAACTCATTACCTAAGATAACCAGAGTAGAAACCAGAAACATTGTGGTTTTTTTTTTCTTGGTAAAAACTTTTTTGATAGATAGCGTCTGAACAAATCCCTTTGGACAGAGACAACCACCATTTACTCAAATCAACATAAGTATAGAAAAACTTTCTAATCTATCTGCGTGACTGAAATGAACCTGACCTGATAGCCTGAGTATAGTATCCATACCAATCATCTATGACACCTCTAAATTACACAACTCAATAAATGTGGAATTGTATGAGGATAGAAAGTAAACGTCGAGGCTTCAAGCCATAAATTCAGAATACAGGCAATCAAAAAAGTACCTTTGTCGTAGCAGGATTGGTTGATGAGAGCTGGTGTGTCTTCCACTTCGGTGTTTTTCTCGACAACTGTGCCCGACACGGGAGAATATAGTTCACTGGCAGCCTTAACACTTTCTAGGGCCCCGACCTCAGCTATAACAAATATAGGCCTTATAAAGTGAGCAACAAGCAAGTGCCTTACACAACTTATAAAGTGAGTCGAATAAAGAAAACTTTGTCAAATTATGCTACATTTAATTGTAAAATTAAGAAACTTATAATTTTCAAATTTTTCTGTCTAAATTAAAATCTGAAACACAGCCTTATGTAATTTTCATCATTGTCTCTCATGCTCGTCCCAGCGGTGTAATTGCCCCCAGGAAGCAATTAGCGACTAAAGTTGTAAGGAAGAGCACACCAGCCACCAGGTTGCAAGAAATCCCACAGAACTATCTAGCATGAGATCTGTCTTTACCAGGAATGTATTAAACTGCTCATCCGAAAACTGCCATATCAAATTGAAACAGAGTCAAATCTGCTTTTAAAGACATGTACGAGTAGATGTTGGATTTATGCTTATGGTTATAGAAAACAAGAAAATCAAGGCATTAACTTATCTAAAAAATTGAGTCACTCACTGTCCTTCCACACACAAATCTTGAATCAACTATCATATAAATTATTTTAATCCCTTAAATTAGTCATACTACTTTAAATTGCACTGTACTAAAATGTATAATTCCTAAACTGTAATCATTGATGTCCCATATACTATTAATTAGGCCTACATGAGTGATTTGATTCCACAAATTGTAATAGGCCTAGCCTACTAATATGATAGAAAAAAAGAATTAAATATAGACTGTCAGC